GGCCTGGAAGCGCTCCCGGGTCGCCGCGCTCGGCTCCTCCCTGGCGGCCGAGCCCCTTCCTCGATTTTCTAGAGAAAACCTGACGGCCGCGCGGGGCACGTTCCCGCGGGGAAATCCTGTAGAGAAGTCACTGTCGTGCAGGCCGTCTGCGATTCGCAGACCGGGGAGCGCGCGTCCCCGGACGCGCCATTACTCTGCGTTTTCAGCAGCCGAGCGAGGCCGGTGCTGTCCTCGGCCCCGGCTGCGCCAGCCACAGGAATTGCAGCAGCTCTTTGATATTAAGGGAAAAAAAATCTCATAAAGAAAAGAATTTCAAAACAGCCTAAAGCTCTGCAAGGATGCTGTCTCCGGGGGGAGGGGGACAGCCCCTCCTATTCATCACCGTTGGGGGGGTCTGGAGGAGGAGCCACAGGCCCCCTTTTTTTTTTTTTTCTTGTTTTCAGTCCCTTTGTTTTGAATAAACGGATATCTTTGGTAACAAGATATAATGTGAAAGCATATTTAATAATCTAAATATTTAACTGACCTAAAAGATTCCTCCAATATTAATTGCCCAGGAACATAATAAAAGGACAAGCAAATAAATCTGCATTTATAGAAACACCATATGACTAAACAGACTTTACTGGTTCTCTTCTTTCTTTAATTTGTAACCAAATAGATGTAATGATTTCTCCTTGCGGAAACTATTTCAGGTGTTTTTCCCATTTAAACTGATTGAATGCCAATCGTACCAGGTGATGATGACAAAACAGATTAAAAAGATAATGTCCGCCCTTGGGATTCCAAGTTCGTGGGTGAGAAAGGTAAGGATTACAGCATGCCGTGATACCGACACTTTTCTAGAACCAAGCAAGATATACATTCATTTATATGAATAAATCAAACATTCATATAAAAATCGACATGGTGGAGTAAAGTAGCACCAATCACAGGAAGGGATGAACCCTGCCCTGGGGCCTGGCTTCCCCCAGCCACCAGAGATCGTGCAGGTAAAACGCCCACTACCCACAGGGTGACCATGGGGAATGAGTGTAGGAGAAAATGATTTTAAAGGAGTTAATCAGCACGATATCCTCAGAGACAGGAAACAACTGATACATCAGGATGCCTGCTATGGGGACAGCCCTTGAAGGCCCGCCCTACTGTCCTGCTTCATCTCCAGGGTCCATCTTCCTGCCACCCTCAGTGAAGAAAATTTCCCCACTGTTACCAAATTTTCATGCCTTCACCACATAAAAAATTAAATCTTAGCTACTGAAGCTCACCTGCATTATGAGTCTTAAATAAAAACCTTCACAGCTGAAAGTTTTTCTGAAAGAAAGGGTTTATTGAGCCAGGTAAAGCACAGCAGCAGGACCAGGTGGAAAATTGCCGATGGGGCTCTTTAATACAATAAGTGTGGGGAAGAAAGATGTAAGTTTATTTTTTTTAAGAACTTACATTGGCTACATATAAGGGGCGGGAAAGTGTCAAAGAAGAAATCAAAAGACAAAAAAAGTACTTTGAGACAAATGAATACGGAAATACACTATTCCAAAAACTTAACAGATGCAACAAAAGAGTTCTAAGATGGAAGTTCATAGCGATAAATGCCTACATTAAGGAAAAAGAAGGATCTCAAATAAACAACCTAACTTTACGCTTGAAGAAACTGGATGAAGAACAAACGTTAGTAGAATGTGAGCCAGAGTTAGTGGATGAAGGCAATAACAGGTCATAGTCTAAATCTCGTCTAAGTTTAGTCTGTTTCGGGATCACCACTATTTCTCACTTTACTTGAGACACATGGGAAACCAGAAGCCTGAATGCACTGAAGTGCTTAACTGAGCCGAGAAGACACGGACCTCTCAATAACTGAAAGGTTCTGAGTTCAAAATTCAACATGGACCTCTCTCAAAGACAGCTGGGGACCAGCAGGTGTTTTTGAGAGAAAAGACTGGATCTGGGTTAGGATTTTTGAGCACCGGTAGTTCGTCTACGACAGAGACATTCTCCTGATGCAGCTGAGAAACTGTGGGCCAAGTGGAGATAGATAGTAGCAGAGAGGTGAATGCATGGGGATCCCATTGTCTAGGGACATGGGCCACCCGGGGTGCAGACCCTAAGGGATGTACTGTCTCAGGAGAGTTCACAAACAACACAGCAAAACTGACTAAAGTCCACGTGCTTTTCATGATCACTGTATGCTGGGAATTCTACGCACGTCAGTGATAAAAGACCCTGCCCCCTGCTGCAGAGGTGGAAGAGGGGAGTCGAAGGGCTCAGGGGAGGACTTCCCCCCTCGCCCTGCAACATCAGCACTATGGAGATGGTAGCATGGTGTTAGAGTTGATCAGGAAGGAGGACAAAAATATTGGTGTAGTTATTTAATTGTGTTTCTCTCCCATGAGCCCACAGCACCATGAGGGCAGGGGTTGTGTTTGCATTGATTATTACCACACTGTGGCAGATAGTAGGCATTCAAAATACTTCATGAGTGAGTGAGTGAATGAGTGAAGGATGAATGAATGAATTCCAGCCGGAAGGGGCTTTGCAGAACGAGATTAAGCTGGCTTATCATTTATAAATTACTTTTCAATTTTTAACGTTCATTTTCTCATTTGATCAAACGTGAGAGGTAGCTAATGTTTACGCGATTCTGACAATGACAGTCCCATTCAGAGAGACACAAGGACATGCCCTCAAGGACTTATGTGATCAGTGGCAGAACTGGGATGGGAAAGCAGTCTTGTTCCATCTTGTCCGGCTTCCCATTTTCCCAGATAAAGAAACTAAGGCCTACGAAAGTAAAACAATTTTACAAGGTTACATAATTAGCTTAAAGAATAAAAAAATAGTGAAAAATCTATCAGGTGAAAACAAGCCGTATTTCCCTCACTTATTTTCCTCCAGTTCCATTTTTCTGATCCAAGGCACATTCCTCAGCTGCTATGTAAACATGCTTTCCACACCAAGACATTTCTTTACAAAAGTGAAATAAAATGGAATTTGGGGCTCTTCGTTTATGTATCGAAAGGCCATTGATATTATTGGCTATTCACATTCTCTTAGGAAAATTCTGCTTCTGCCTAGTTAAAACAACTTAGCGTGCTCCTTCATTTCCTTTCCAGTGTGTTCAAAAATGAGAAGAAATTATTCCAGTCTGAAAAAGACTTAAACACGTACGGGTTTGGAATTGAAGCCCATGGCTGGGAGTACTTGGTGTGACCCCGCCCCCAACCTGCGTCCCACAGGCCTGGGGCAGGAGACAGGAAGACTGGCCATTCCGGTGCTGTGAGAAGGCGGTGGGCCCTCGAGGTCCAGTCATCCCCCGGGTCCTAAGAGTTGTCTCCCATGTCTTGACCCCAATGAAAAAAATCAGCTTTTCTCTATTTCCCCCTGAATATTAGTACTGGGCATCGCTTACGATCTCAGCGACGGAGCAGGACAGACAGGGCGTTCAGTTGTTCTGAGTAGGCACGCGGTTATTTGCAGTCAGAATAGTAAAACAAAAAGAAAAAAAATCGCCTCATTTAGAAGCACCTTCTGTCTGAACAAAGCCACCTCTTACTTT